CCATCTATTACTTAAGAGTTGTGCTTTGTTGAAAATCCTGATTCACTCAAATTGACAACATATTGAAAAAATAGGTTGCAAATGCAATTTTGTCTTTCAAACCACAGCAATTCTAATTACAGTACAATCAAATCACACAATACAGAAGCAGTTTTTTCAGTGGGAATTATGTACTGTTATTTATTAAACAAAAGGTGCCACACATTGCAGGAAAATCAAAATCTTTTACACATTTACATAGTGGGAAAAAATAAGTAGGACATTTAACATGTTTCTCCACTGTTGAGCTTTATGTGAAGAAAGATCACCTCTACATCAAGAAGGCCAGTTCAAATAGTAAGCTGTTATGATTGGCTCTTATCTTTCTTCTGTTGTTTGGTTTTTGAATTGGCATTGTGGACAAAGTCATTGTTTCCTTCTCTGTTTCTCGCAATCTCAATGGCATAAAACTGGATTCTGGTCGCTGAAATGAAAATGGAGGGGAAAATTAGGCTTTTTGTTCTTAATCTGTTTCCTGTGCACTTGTATGATGTGTGTAAACTACTAAAAGAAGTGAACGTGTGGCATCACATACCAAATATCGTGTTCACCTCCGTGTAGTCCTTTTGACAGTCTAGACGTAATAATGTACCATAGTTGAAGTCTTCTACAACTCCTTCAAACTGGTTACAAAAGGGCCTCCATTTCTGGAAAAAAATTTAAAGATGGCTTGACCGACTCGTCATGAGTGAAATCAAAAATTAAACATCAGAGTGACGTCACGCACCTCTTTAGCATCCGCTGACTTCAGCAGCTCTGGGTCCAGAACTTGAATACTAAGGTCAGGAAATGCTTCCCGGAATTTAGTGTATATCTGCTCGTCTGATTTTGTTAGTTTTAGAAACTTGGGATCAACTGAGGAAATAAGCTGTAGAGAAATAAACCTGTCAATGAAGCTGGACATTTAAGCCAGTGGTTCCCAACCCTGGTCCTGGACATGACATGCAGAACGTGCAGTGTTGAGGTGCCTCCAGGACCAGGGTTGGGAACCACTGATTTATGGGATCCAACTGACAGGACAGATTGTGACACTCATTCACTTACATTATAGTAAACTTCTGCGTGATTGTAGGCTTTCATAGCCCACATTACTTCCAGTTGGGCCTGATGGCAAACATACAGTATGGTTAGTGTTTTGAAGTGGGGATACTTTTACAAATATTTAACTTATTTTCTTATTCATTTGCAAGTATCAAAACATCCCAACTCACATCATTTCCATACGCCTCTGCTGGAAGAGAGAGCGCATGCGCAGCCGCAGTGGCTCCCTCTACCCCCTGTTTATTAAAGACAGAAATACTCAATTCAGTGGAAAATTGAACATTAAAGTGTATTAATAAATCTAATACGTAAAACCCGTGTCGTTAAAAACAAACGCTGCCTCAAGAGACTAACGAAGAACTCATGTATTCATCAACGCTGTCAAGTACCCTTTTTATAGTACTACCTAAGCAATTTAAAACTGGATGAGTATAAATATCAGTGATGATTAAGGAAATTATTTCGTTATTTTTGCCATATGCCCACAACATGCTTGTTAGCATGCAGGCTAACTAAGATATATAACGTTAGATGTATTACTCTGGGCTCTGAACGGTTATGAAAATTCGCTATATGAGAGCATCGGTTCAATAAAATACTATCACGTTATCATACAGTGCCTTGTGTTTGTTGATAAGTTAAAATAACTAACTGCCTACCAGAGATGCAAGAACATCCCCCGTGTCCATGCTGACGCCTTTTGACCCGGATGAGCTACAAACACGTCCTGATGACAGACAGGTCATGTGATTTAAATGCGTTGTGTTGTTTTCGGTCTGCTGTTCAGATCAGGTATTGCTCGCAGCGGAATTGATTTAAGAAAAAGGTGAAAAAATAATGACAAGAAAATGCATTTATATGATGGAATATAAAATGAAATGGCGAATAGTGCGACTGTGCCCTCTAGTGGTTAAGCTCTGTTACAGATCTCGTTGGTTTTTGTGAAAGTATTTTATTTTCTTGTCCAGTTAAATGTTTTATCTTGTGTAGAGGTGTCATATGTTGGGGGGGGGGGGGGTT